AAGAAAAAGTATCTTATGGACAGAGACTCAGTTTGAACAAAACAACTGGCATTCACTCTGCTACCTTTGAGGCCGAATTTTAAACAATATTAGTAAATACACTTTCTCCATGTGTTTAAGGCATTATTCCTGCCAAAGCATAATCCAATAAATCATTACTGTAGGTCCTGCTGTGAAATATGATCATAACCTGCACATCATTTAGCAGTGTATTTTCTGTGTCTAATTTAGTCCCTTTCCTGTCTCTCTCCCATCTGTATTTCTGTAACACCAGTTTTACTAACGATCATCACTGGAGACAGGACATAAATTTTCATTTGTGAAACCAGCATGAGCAAAGACCAGGAAAGCATGTCAGAATAAATGAGAACTCTCCAGGGTACAGAACCATAAAGAAAATCAAGAGGCCAAGAGGTGAGCAGGGGGGTCATTACTGCAGCAAACTACACATACCTTAATCATGCCCTCTTTCATCTGGTGGGTCGCATCACAACACAAAATGAAGCTACACCAGGCAAGTTCATAGCATTCTCCCACTGCTGCCCATGTCAAAACTCGAGCGCTCCTGTATAATTAATGAAATCATGTTGGTTTCTTTATTTTATGTATTATTTATAAGTTAGGAGGCAAAAATTTCCATTAAAAAGAATTTTTAAGTTAGGGAGATAGGAGAGTCTCTATTAGTGGAGACTTTTAAGATCATCTGCCAGGATGCTTGAGAGCAGGTTAGGGTTATTAGATCCTGCCTTGGGCCAAGGAGATGAAATAGAGGAACTCTGTGACCTTGCAAGGTCTTTTCTAGCTTTTCCTGGAACCATTCAGTGAAAACGGCCTGGAAAAGCAGCAAACTAAAAACTGGTAAAAGAGACACTTCTGGTATGTGCTTAGCTGTGGAAGCAAAAAAAACCAAAACACATACACACACACACACCCCCCCAAAAAAACCACCCCAAAACCAACCAAACAAAAAAACGAGAAGAGGCTACATCTAGCAAAGTGACAAAAAAGAGTTCACAATTTAAGTAAAAGATAGTGAATGTTAAAAGAAAAAACATCCTCTGCTACATGATCCCTATTTAAGGTCTTCTCATGAACACCATCATTAAATCCCTACCCATATTATAATTTTAAATAGCTCCTTCAAAACTCCATTTGTAAACTTCCCCTGGTAGTGCTCCCTGCGATCATCACGAGAGCTCACATTATGTCATTCTACAACGCGCCTTTCCTAAATTCGTCCCTGAAGCCACCTGTAAAAGAGGTAGAGGTGAACTAGAATTTACTAGGCGATTACTGACCCCCTTTTGCTTTTATTTAGGATGCCGTGTCTCCTGAATTCTTGGTCATTAGAAATCAGCCTGTTGATTCTGCAAGTACTCACCCTGCTAGAAAATCCTGTTTCTGCCTCATGCCATGCGAAGTATGACTGGATGTTACCTTGACCTGAAAAACAAGAAACAAAGTAGGTTTGTAGCCAAACCTCGGGCTGCCGACTATACCTGTGTCAGGAAAAGGTGCATCTCTAGCAATCAGAAATTATATTTAAAATAAGTCTTTTCTTGGTACGATCCTACAAATCAGGGCAGTTCAGAAGAAGTGAATTTAATCAGGAAACGTTTGTCCCAGATGTGGTATTGACAATCTTGGAAATTCAAGACTAATGGAAACCAGAAAGGAGCTAAAAATAGCAGCAACTATACATAACCAGCTTGGGAAACAGACAATGGAAGTAAGAGGCAGTGAGGACAGGGAAAAAAAACCAAAACACCACCATCACACAAAAAAACCCCACCTTCCAACAAAGACAATCAGAAGTGTTTAAGCACATTAGGATAAAAACAAATACATAAAACCACCTGTAATAATCAGATTGTCCACTGCTACATATTTTGGGTAAAATCTGTCAACAGAAAAGGTTGATATTTCTCATAGTTCTTTCTGCTCTGGACTGCGAAGTGGTGCATAGCGTATCATAGCTTAAAACCAACAACTCAGACTGATATTTAAATAGTATCAAAGGTGAGATAACTCCTGAGCCCTGTGAAGTCGAGGTATGAATATCTGATTGCTGACACTGAGTTTCTGCAAGTCACTGAAAAATAAGCTACAGGAGTCAGAGAGAAAGCTAATCTCTAGAAGCATAAACAGGACAATCCAGGACTAAGAGCTCAACACCAGTCCAACAGCAGGAGAAGCAGCTCCCTTTCTGTGGAAGGGCCACCAGGCAGTGGCCACCTAGCCACAACCTGCAGACCACCACACTCCACCAAACTACTCAGCTTCCTGGCAAGCCACAGGCACCAACATTTTCACCAAAGGCCTTACTAAGAAATGCTTGGGGTTCTGCATCTGGTCAAAGATGTTCCACAGCTGTCAATTGATGGGAGCACCTACATCAAAGGTTCATGGATGAGTTTGGTTCATGGACAAACACTGAGCTGTTAGGATGTTGGGCTGTAAAACAAGGTTCAGCACCAGTGTAGGAGAGTATTAGGACAAAATAACCCCTATTATTTGTAGATATATATATATAGTATTTATATATATGTATAGTATTTGGAGAGAATAGAGGTATTTTAATTATTTCCTGGTTAGGTCTGCACCATAGAAAACTGTTTGCTACAAAACAGGAATACTTTTAAGAGTCATAAAGAATTTGGAAAGTCTTGCAAGGTCTCACAAAAAACCTGTGACTTCACAGCCTCTGACTAGAACTACTCTGCTAGTAAATAAAATTCTGTGATATCAAGAGTGACAGAACTCCAGGTAAAAGCAATTTAATTTCAAAACATTTGGATTAAGGAAATGCAATTGTAGCTTAATGTATTTGGGATGCAATCAGAAAACAGCATTTAAGATGGTAAATTTCCCTTTTTACTCCACCAACTTACAGATAGGTCTGCAGAACATTTCAGTATAAAGATAGAACATTCTGGAAGAACTTGATGATTGTTACTTTACATATGAAAAGTGTTTCGATTCCATTCTTTGAGATTTTATCATGCAAATCACGCAGAAGTGGGTGACTGAACATTCCAAAAGGCTTAACACAACTTTTACCGTGTTTGCTTAGGCAAATATTCTGATACCTGTCACCAGTTCAAATTTAATCTTGTCCCAGGGTTAGAAAACAGGTCACAGTATGTTATGTTTGCCATTTTGTTGTGAAACTTCAGTGCATTTTCATACCAAGGACACATGCAACAATTTCTAGGCCAGCTGACTTCCCTGGTACCACAGTTCCCTCTCGACTGCTGCAGGATCCCCACATATTTGTCTTTTTTGGAAGAACACAAGTACCAAAGAATAATTTGGTCCTTTAATTGTTTACAGTACCTAGGAATGATTTCTCTGACTGTTGTGAAAGAATTGCCAAGTTCTAATTTCACCACTACACGCAAACCTGAATGGGAGCTTGGTAGAAAGCCCCACCATCCTGGCGTTTGAGATCTAATAGCATTTTCGGTTTTCTTTTGTGTTGCAGGCTCATCAGATTTCAAGCACATTTCCATGTTTATAAAGCAGCTGAGCTGACCCAACATAAATGAATAGGTGGAAAGCCACAGGAAACCAAAGCACTACCAATTACCTGCAACTGAATGCCATTTCTCAGTGAGAATACACAAGGCACTGATGAAATGCAGATAGCCACTTTTGGATGTGCTGGCTGGAGGGTTACAGGCTTTCACTCTGGGCTGTAACCACCCACCAGCTGACCGGCTGCTGGCTACCGGTGACTCAGGCCTGATGGCCCAGCCCTTCAGGTGCCACAGCTCTTGGCTCTGGCCGGCACCCCAGGGCCTCCCCCAGGGCTCCATACTCCTGCTCCACAGCCTCTCCTGGCATTCAGAGCAACCCAGGGTGCTGCAGGAAACCTCAGTTTCAGCAATAAGAAGAGTTAGTTAACAAAAAAGAGCGAGGAAGCATGCGCAAAAGTATCTTTGATTTTGGGTCCGGAGGAGCGGAGCCCATCTGCTGAGGAAGAGCAGTGAGGGACAGGAGGAGACGTGATCTTTAAGGTCCCTTCCAACCTAAAAGATCTGTGATTCTGTGTTCCTCAGCTGTGCTGTGGGCAGCACAGGAAGAGCTGTCATCGTCCACAGCAGTGCTTTGCCTCTGAGTGAGCTGACACCCACCGCTTCCACAGCGCCAAACGGTCCCTTCCCTCCCAGCTAAAGTGCATGTTAAATATGATGAGCCTGCAACACTAAAGAGGAGTATACAAATAGGAAAACTGAAAGTATTTGTGGAGCCCTAAGTCCATTTGTAATAAAGCAACCTGTTGTGAAAAATAAGTGGAAATGGTCCTGATGCTCCCCTTCTCAAGGTCCCCACACGCTGCCGGGAGAGCAGTTTTGGTAGAACACCACCAGGATTCACACCATCCACAGACTCACTGGCCCCACAGCCCCCTGCTAATGGAAAGCAGCAGGGCAGCCTCCCAGGAACAGGCACACACATGGACAGGATGGGACACGAAACTTCTGACAGCCCTAGACTGAACCTCCTGAAGAAGCTTTTATGTGATGAAGATTCACGGATCTCTTCAGGCCTCCTGGGGTCAAAGGCATGCAAATTCCCAGCAGCAGAATGTCCCAATGCTATCCAAAACTGCAAAAAACGTTCATTTTTTTTTTTCAATTTTCTTCCTTACACATGACCAGCCAAGGCTAATCCATCTTGCCTATCTGCTTATGACCAAAATTTCTTGTCAGTTGCTAGCCAAGCACTCCACGAGTCTCCAAACACCACGCACCCTCCACCTCCTGCCTCTACTTACACACATCCCCGTCACTGAGCAGTGACTCATAGTCTGCCCAGAGAGATCATGGCCCAGACAGCTGCTGATCAGGATGAGGAGGTTATCAGCCACATCCTGAGAAGGGAAGGGGCCACAAGGTGGGACAGACAGAATGGCACTGACAGACCTGTGAGTCAGAACACGAGGGAGAAATGAAAGATGCTGTTGACAACGTGAGGAGCCTGGAGATAACAGGGAGCCTAATTGCTAGACACGTACAGAATGGTGAATGGAGGTAAAACCCCTCCACAGCAGATGCCCTAAGGTTCTCTCAGTACCTGTTCCTGAGTACACAGTCTCATTGTGCTGTATTTGTACCACTGTCAGGACCAGCATGAACAGCTTTTTTTAGACCACCACACAGTAAGAAGGCTTCAGGGAGTCCTTAGTGATTATTAATTCTCTTAGGACAGACTGGACCTTTGTCTCTCTGTTAACTTTTTGAGTCAACTTCATGGGTCACCAGCCAGAAATCCCAACACGAAATGCAGTGTGGTATTTTGTTAATAATATACTTTGTGTTTGTTCATACTCTTTAATCGCATGGGGTTTTTTGCTGTGTGGAACATCCTGTCTCTCTGGCCTAAACCAGTTCAGAGGCAAAGATGCTTTGGACTGAATCCAGACTACACATGTGTATTTTTGTCTTGCTCTGGAAACCTTATGTCAATTTAAAACCAATCAGTAGAGTTTGTATTACTGTATTTGCCTGAAGAATACAAAGAACCTGCTTATAAGACACATGAACAGGCACCCCTGTGCCTCTCCTCTAAGAGGAAACCCTTTGCCTCTCCAAAGACAGGAAGAAGCTGAAGGGGATAGCACACCGACACATTTGTTAAGACTAATTGCTCATAAGAAGCTATTAATCTATTGCCACTGCTATGTTTTTTACACATCAGCAAATGTGGTAACTGGTTATTTTTCTGTATTTTCATGCTAAGGTCATAGCATTAATGTTTCATACTAAAATGCTGGGTTTTTTCTGGTTTTGCACAGGAGGTTTTGGTTTTTTGGGCATGTTAAACTTGTACTGTGTTTCTGCTTCCAAGTATTAGGAAGCCACCAAATAGGGCTCGAAATCACTGACACTGTTATGAGCAGAACATATTATAAGTAAACTAATAGCTAAACTGCCAACACCACAGATTCATGGATAACTTTCATAAGAATTCTGGGTTCTACCACTGCTGCCTCCTGAACCATGCACAAACCCAGAGAGTATCCACAATGCCCATTGGAGAAGGGAATATTCCAACAGCAGCAAATCCTCTTTCAAGCCCCATCTAACTGATTCATGCTTTCACAAGTTGGATAACAGGCCTTTATTCAGTCACTTTGATTTCTACCATGTCACTAGAACTCTACAAAGTGCCTTAATGCTCCATTTGTGTAACACCCAACAGATAAATTATCAAAACTGTGTAAGCATACTCCGGGGCAGGGGGGGTGGGAGGGAGTGGGAAGGGGAGAACCTAAACAAACAAAAAAACAACAACACAAGAACAAAAAAACCTCAAGACTTCCAGATCCCAAAAATAAGAATGAACTTTGGAATTCAAAAGCTACACTAATGTGGAGTTATATTTTATAATAAGAGCCAGTAAATAAATGTATTGTACAAATGCCATGTCAAACCAAA